ACTAGAAACTACTACAGGCAAATGATGTCAACATAAAAATCCAAAATCCAAAATTCAGTAATGTATACTCAAAAAGCAACCTAGTTACAGGAAAATGAACTATATATTTTAGCATCTCAGTTGATAATTGGTTAGCAATTGCTATTACTGTTGCTTGTTGGTTGACATCCACATAAAAAAAGCTTTGCACAAAAAGGAAGGGATAGGTAATGAACCTCAATCCATGATGTCAGCATAGGTCTTCCTGTAGTGATGTCATATTTCTTTACATCCAGCAATAAGGGATAAAATCTTTCCATGAATGGAGCATATGTTATGTCGACCTGCAACATAGAAATTTTGACACAGATTAGGGGTTCCATAACAATTTACAAATTGACTATATATTCACCAACTTCTTGGAAAGTATTTATTTGTTCGCACTTCTTTGACTACAATGCATAATACAACTGCATTTGTAGTTTAAGTAATATATAATAATTTTAAATATAAGAACAGTAAAGATGGAAAACCAATATCAAATTAGTAGAGTGCAACTAACTTACTAGACTGAACTGACCATGGAAGAAAGTCCATCAGTAAATTTGTGGAGAGCTGATTCGAGGTAATCAAAAGCAGTACCTGTCAAGGTTTATTGGAGCGGGTCACATTATGATTCATATAAAATGTTAAATTTCTTTCTATATCGTAGTACTTAAAAAAAAAAATAGCACGCCTTGAATCTTACTGATTTCATTTTCAGATCCTCCCTTCAGTGAAGTGATCACGACCAGGTTAAAGGTGTTTGTGTAGGATAGCAACTCCTCAGCAAATTCTCTCTTGGTGGGATCCTACAGACATTTGATACGCTATAGACTTCAATTTTTGAAGCGATAGAGAGTTGGATTTTATGTCAAGAGTGAAAAATCTACTTACATCAGGGTAAAGAGCTGGTCCTTCAAAGTAGCTATCAATATATTTTAGCAAATCAAGACTCTCTCCTCGAATTTCATTATTGTGCTCCAGTGATGGCACCTACTAATTTTGAAAAGGAAAAAAGAAAAGAATCTGTAAATATCATAATCCATGAAACAAGAGGGCTCTCAACAGATTTTGTGATTTTTTCCTCATTTGATAGATATAAATTTCTGCAATTTTAAGAAGAGAACGAGGAACACACAAATTACCAAACAGTATTTTCCAAACAATTAATTATGGTTGAGAATGTAACCTTATTTGGTGGGTAGACTTTTTCCTTGTACCAATCTGGCCTATTTTGAAGATCAATAGGAACTAATTTGATCTTCTCTTGCAGACCCCGCACAAAAAAGTAAAGAAATTTCAAATTGAGAATTGCAGTAACATGAATAAAAGAAAAAAGAAAAGAAATAGTAGAGCAGAAAAATTATCCATAAAATTTAACACATGCAATCCAAACACGCTGCGCATTGGACAAATGTAAGAGGTGTACAACCTTCAGGAAATAAAAATGGAACATGGTGATCAGAAAATGCATGAGAACACGCAAAAACACACACAAGCGTGAAACACACACACACATGTATCCCAATTGAAAACCAGCAAAAAATTTCAAACAGTGATAGTAACATATTAACTTGGCATGATTCAAAGTTCAGACATTGATAGTGTGTCCTGTGGAATTTGATAACCAAATCATTTGCTTCATCTGTCTTGATGTTTTAGCACACAAAATTGCACCACGAATATATTCTGCTAAAATGTAGGCTAAATTTTAATCCACTCACAAATGTATGTCATATAAAGCTGTTCTATACATAACTCAAAAAGGATGTACCCAATGCACAAGCACCCACTTTGCAGCAGGGTCTAGAGTGATAATAAATCACACACATTTAAGATGGAAAAGAAGAACAAATGCACATGAATGATAAATCACACACAGACACAAAGAACACAAACGTCACCCCCAAAACTAGGTTATGTCCACGGCTGTTGTCAATTCACTGATAATGTCTCCTCTCGACTATATATTCTTTAAAAATTAAGACAATAGGTCGTAAGCGTGGTTTAGAACCACGTTTTCTTCAGGAAAAAAAATTTATGTTAAAAGCGTGGTTTGCAACCACGCTTTCTTAATTAAAAGTGTGGTTTCTAAAAGTGCTTTCACTATTGATCAAATTTTCGGCCCCAAATAGTGAAAGCGTGATTTGTAATAGCATTTTAGCCTAAGTTGGGAATTCCGTTCAAACTAGGTCTAGTTTAGGAATTAAGATGATAAATTGATTTAATATGGGAAAAGCCCTTGTTTTCAATCCAAACCATAAGTGTATTTTCATTAAGTAAAACCGACTAAAAAAGAATATCTTAGTCATTAAATTCAATGTAGGTGTACATAAAATGTCTAAAATACCATTTTTCATTGAGTTTAAACCAAACATGGGACAGTCCATGAGTTAAATTGAAAATGAATAGTAATAGAAATCCATGACAATGGAGTAAAACAGAAAAATAAGTAAATAAAATGAGAGCAGACTTACAATCAAAGCAGTCTTAAGACTGCTATCGGAGAATTCAGACCATTTTTTCTGTGACTTGAGTCTTTGAAATATGTCATCAAAATCGCTGTCCCACTGAAACATTAAAGAATAATTACAAACCAACATGCATACAACATAAAGCTTAAATCAAAGAGAGTTGTTTAAGAACATAATGCCAAAAGATTGACCACACCTTTATAAAATCACATTTGGCAATGATTTTTCTGCATGCATAATTTTTGTGAATATAATGCAATTCCCTTAAGTATGAGGTATAACGCTGCAAAACCACATATATATTATTAAACCAAATTAGCACACATGGACACATCCTAACTTTTTTTTTTTTTTTTTTTTTTGATAAATAGGACACATCCTAATTAATTAAAAGTTCAGGTGATGGAGTTATTAGAAAAGTTCAAGGAAAATCTTAAAGATTGGTTTGATTTACTAACATTGACCACGTGGGACCACACATAATCTCGATCTGGACTCCATCTGAGTCCAACTTTATTATCCATACATATTATTAGAAAAAAAAAAAAAAAAAAACACCCATACACCATGTGCTTGTCAAACCAAATGACCATGTGATGGTAACAAATCATAATTCCTGCAACAGTCTTACTTTTTGACAATTATATTGTGAGAGAGAGAGAGTTTTAATTTCTTGAATATCCATTTTGACTTACACACATGCATGGACACATCCTATCTAGTTAAAACTTCATGCAATGAAGATATTAAGAAACTCGAGGAAAATCTTAAAGCTTAGTTTTGTTTAGAAACATTGAACACGTGGGACCACACATACTCTTGATACGGATTCCACTTGAGTCCTACATTATGTTCATTAATTCAGAAAATGTTGTTGAGTTTCTTTTAACTATTATTATGTTTCACAATTTAAAATTAAGTTGACAATTCTAAGTTTTGTAAACATTCACACCTGCAATTTATATAATAGAATAGAAATACACATGTAATGGAGATAAAGGTAAGAGTGAGATTTTGAAAACGAGCAAACCTTGTGGTTCCATCAAAAAGAGGAGGTGGGTCAGAGCTAGAATCAAGAACAGGGGGAAGAACTTCCTCAACATCACCACCAACCCTGCCAAATGCCAATATTATACAAAGCTGTATTTATTGTATATGAATACGACCCACACAATTGAAAAAAAAAAATCACAAAACAAAACCCACTTCAACAATTAAAGATCAGATTACATAAATATCATAAAAGACACATAAAAATCTAGAAAAAGTACGTTTTGGGCATGGATGGTGTTGGAGATGCCCTGGTTTCCATGGAAGAGAAAAATATATTATATCATTTTCCATAGAACTCAGAGATTCCCTCTAGAAAAACTAAAAACAGAGATTAACAAAACTAGACAGTTAATTTGAATGTTATTTTGGGGGGTGGTTTTAATTTGCAACCACTATACCTATACCTTCGCTATGTGCCAACAAACCTCAGCAATTGAAGCGGATTGAGTACTGTGAGATAGTTCACGAAGAAAGCGACCAAATTGGCGGACAGCAATAGAGATGGCTGGAACAACAGAGGAATTGTGGGCAGCTTCCTCATCGATGGGCGACTCCTCCAGCTTCTCTTCTTCTGCTGAGTTCCTCTCTTTTTCTTCATCTGATAGTAACATTTCTTTGGGTTCCATGGTGTCCGATTCAGAAGGTAGTGGAGTGATAGTGTCTTGATTGACTGGTGAGAGCACAGCTTCATCAACAGTTGGAGTTATCTCTGGGGTTTCTTCTACAGGCCATTACTTGAGAATCTGATGGTAAAATTAGAAAGTCCATTACCTGAAGGAAAATTAGCAGCAGCAGCACGAGGATCAAAGTTGTTGCTTTGCTTTGCTACCATCATGTTATCTCAAGTCGTGCAAGGCTTACGAAACTTGATCATATTGAAAAGCATCCACATCACAGCCCAGACCATGAGCCAATCCTGGTTCTGAAAAAGTAATATTAACCAGACCATAACTATATATGTAAATAGATATGTGTTGGGTTGGGGCAGGTCACCTAGTTAAGTTCTCCACTGCCATTCTCATGCATTCCAAGCACAAATAGTGAATTGAGAGAGACAGAGAGAGCGAGAGAGAGAGAACGAACGATAATAATGAATTGAGAGATATGTTTCCATTACAGCACTGAAATAGGCTTCGAAATGAAGAGTTTCAGAGAGAGACAGAGAGACGATGGAGCTCACCTTAGTAGACGATGGTGCAGATGGTGTTTTGGAGCTTCGAAATCGAAACCGCTCTGAGATGAAATCACTGAGATCGATCTGAATCTCTGTGAATGATAAGCTTTTAGAGAGGGTTGACACAGAGAGAGAAACCAAAAAAGTGAAGTGTTAGTTAATTGTGGTTAATTAAGAATGCAATTTACACAGCTTATTTTGCAAATTCTTCCACATGGAACCATACAGAGACTTTGCAGTGGATCATGTTTCCAACTATCTGGGCAGCTTTCTTTTTAGTTTCAGCACTCCTCTCTCTTAGCCCTCTATGAACTATTGGTACCAACAGTGCGAGTGAAGGAGCATCAATCGAATTGATAAATGTTGTCTGCAACCAATGAAACACATTTAAAGCTATTTTATTTTAAGGGGGAAAAAAAGGAACAGATGCATAAATCATAACAATTAATAGTAAAGTTCACATCCTTACTTGGAGAAGAATATCAAGGGAATGCTTCGTGTAGTCATTGGGGTCTGTAAGGCCCATTAGAAGTGTTGGGACAAGAGCAGCAATTTCTGGATTTTTAATCACATTCCCAACCTAGAAATAAAACAAAGACGTGATTACAAGAGCACAAAAAAACTACACAAGTACGCAAAAGTGAATGAGCACTAAACTAATAACACAAAGTACGATCAACGAAAGACCAACTCCTAGAACGTGTCACAAATATTAGGGCCTGACTGATGATACTCACTTATTAATATAATCACCTCAATCAAACATATACAGACACAGAAAAACTACAATGTTATTACAAACTAAAGCTGCCAATGGTACGATTTCCCTTCAACAACTCATTTCTTATTCCCTACAACTTATTAATATAATCACCTCAATCAAATTCAGATTTAGATAAATAATCTATAGTGTAATGGATCAGAACAATAAATGCACAACCAAAAAGAACATACGTTGTTGCATAATGCTCAACCAGAACATGCCCAGCACTAAGTGCAGCTTCACGAACAGATTCATTCTCATCAGCAAGAGTAACTGACTTTTTAATCATTTTGAGTGAGTTTAGTCGAATCAAAACAAGTAGACAGACTAACCAAGATAGAGAAAATTGAGGAAAATTAAAGTTTAAATAAGGTGGTGTGTTTGCTCCTAATATGCCTGAGAGGGGAGATTGCGCCAAGCAAATGGGCCGAGCTAGTTGTGACTTGGGCCTTGCCGTTAGATTACACGACCGAGTTGGTATAGCCGAGGGCAGTTTGGCCGAGGTTTTAGATCATGTGGCTAAGTTAGCCCAAGGTCCGGAAGTTTGACCAGGCTAAGTGGAGCTAGGTACAGCGATGGTCCAAGGCTGAGTAAGGTCAGCGGGAACGAATGGAGTTGGGTAAATCGAGCTAGTTATTGAGCTTGACCCTGAAGGTCGGTCGGAATTGAGGCTGGAACTGACTGGGCTATGCCTAACTCGCTGGAAATTTCCAAGTGGTCCAATTGGAGTGTGAGAAGAGAAGCTCGCCAATGGTATGCGTCAATACCGTTTGGCATTTTGGCCAATGTTGTTTGGCGGTATTGACGAGTACATATGTAAAGAATAGAGAGGGTAGTACAACTATGCGTCCAGGAAAGGACGAGCAGAGTAGCGCGCAGAAGCTATATAGACTGAGTGGCGCCTCCATACAACATGTCTGAATTTCTGGCTACCCAGAGCTCTAACTCTTTTTTGTCTTCTCTCTCTTTCTTTCTCTACAAGGATGCTAACTTGACCGTTGGAGAGGTTTTCCAATAGCACAACCGCTGGATAGCTCACTGCCATTGTGTTCTCAGGTTATTCGGATCGAAGCGGAGCAAAGCGAAGCAAAACTTGGACACGAGGTGTACGGACAGCGACGAGTATTTGCTCCTCGTGCACAACCTAATTTCATCTCTTTACCAATATACCACCAAGATGAACATGTTTATACTAAATTTGAAGTCAATCTGTGACCATTTGCTTTCAAAGCTTTTGTGTCCAGTTTGCTTACAATTTTCACATAAACTTAATTTTATAAAATAAAATTTTTTGATGTAATTGAACTGAAATTGAGCCTGATTTTGAAAGAATTTTTTTGGATTGTTTTGATGTTTTTTGAAATTTTCTTTTATGAATTTGAATTGAGTTTGAATATAATTTATTTTTTATTTTTTACGAAAAGATGTATAAAAAAATATAGAGATAATACGTGACAGATATAAATGAGTTGAAATTCTACCGAAATAAATGAGTTGAAATTCTACCGAAATAAATGAGTTGAAATTCTACCGAAATAAATGAGTTGAAATTCTACCGAAATAAATGAGTTGAAATTCTACCGAAATAAATGAGTTGAAATTCTACCGAAATAAATGAGTTGAAATTCTACCGAAATAAATGAGTTGAAATTCTACCGAAATAAATGAGTTGAAATTCTACCGAAATAAATGAGTTGAAATTCTACCGAAATAAATGAGTTGAAATTCTACCGAAATAAATGAGTTGAAATTCTACCGAAATAAATGAGTTGAAATTCTACCGAAATAAATGAGTTGAAATTCTACCGAAATAAATGAGTTGAAATTCTACCGAAATAAATGAGTTGAAATTCTACCGAAATAAATGAGTTGAAATTCTACCGAAATAAATGAGTTGAAATTCTACCGAAATAAATGAGTTGAAATTCTACCGAAATAAATGAGTTGAAATTCTACCGAAATAAATGAGTTGAAATTCTACCGAAATAAATGAGTTGAAATTCTACCGAAATAAATGAGTTGAAATTCTACCGAAATAAATGAGTTGAAATTCTACCGAAATAAATGAGTTGAAATTCTACCGAAATAAATGAGTTGAAATTCTACCGAAATAAATGAGTTGAAATTCTACCGAAATAAATGAGTTGAAATTCTACCGAAATAAATGAGTTGAAATTCTACCGAAATAAATGAGTTGAAATTCTACCGAAATAAATGAGTTGAAATTCTACCGAAATAAATGAGTTGAAATTCTACCGAAATAAATGAGTTGAAATTCTACCGAAATAAATGAGTTGAAATTCTACCGAAATAAATGAGTTGAAATTCTACCGAAATAAATGAGTTGAAATTCTACCGAAATAAATGAGTTGAAATTCTACTGTTAGTGAGTGATTTATGTGAAATTCTACTGTTAGTGAGTGATTTATGTGATGACCATGATGTTGAACTCAAACCTTTTATCCCGTTCAAAAAAAAAAAAAAAACCTTTTATTGACCTTCCTGAAATTCAGTTATTGATTTTTGTTCGGGTTTGAATCTTTACTATAGTTGACTTTTAGTGGGCATCTCGCTAGGGGCCAAAGTAAACATTTCATGATTTTATTTTGTTTTTTTAATCAACTAATGCAATTGAAATAAGTACCCAAGTTTACTTCTGTGGAAAACTTTAGGGATTTTTTTGAGCAATTAATAAAGATAGGATATTCTTGCTCAAACATTAATAATAAAAAAAATAAAAAGAAAAAGAGAAAAAGAAAAAGAAAAAGAAAATAGAGATAGAAAGATACGGATTCTTTTTCTAAAGAAAAATATAACGCACTGTCAAAAATTTATTATTCAACTTTTGATTAAGTCGAATGCCACCAACAAACATCCAACTCACTGTCCAAACTTATTCACTCATTTGGAAAAGAATTTTATAGCTGCATTTTTTCTTTAAATTTTTTTTAACCCTCAGTCATAATTTTTTTGTAAAATGTTTACTAATTAGATTCTTCACACCAAAAAATTTAAAATTTTGATCAAATTTAAAGCAAAAAATCTGAATTTTTATCATTTTGGCCCAAGAAAATAGTTTTTTTTTTAAATAATTTTTATTGGATTATTTTTTCAAATTTAATTCTTTTTTTTTATAATTAAAACAGAAACACATCTATACCCAAATTTTAAATAAATACATAAACATTAAAGACCAAAAAAAGGCAAGGAAAAAATCTACCTTATAAATATAATCCATTGGCAAACACCCATTAATTATTGGAGTAAGTATCTGCAACTGATGTAGGTTACCATTGTGGAATAAGATTCTCTACAATACTTTCTTGCAATTGCAAGAATGATTGTGTTATGAGCTTAAACCAATGCATTTCAGAATTAAATCACCTACTTAAACTACTATTGCAAATTTGTACCCAAAGCATAGGTCCCTTTCTAGGTTCATTTTCATGATTCAATTTATTTATATGTAGAATTCGTTGAATACATCATCTTTATTAAAATTTAAATTAATTAAAAATTTGTCATCTTGAAGGAATATTGATGTTGTGATTCATTGATTCATCGTCAGCTATGATATCATTGATTCATTGTCATCATAGTATGAATGCATTGCACATTATAAAAAAATAATCCAAATAAGAAGTGCCATAAATATATATATATACTAGAATGTCACTTGTGTTATGTACGGGATAAAATAATATGTTATTTAATAAAAACATGATAATTATATTTAATTTTTTTATATTATGTAAAATAAAAATTAAATGAAAGCTAAGCAATTGGGATTTTCTTAATTGTTTAAAAAAAATTAGTATGAAATATTAATCATAAAAATAAAAAAAAAATTAGTATGAAATATTAATCATAAAAATAAAAAAAAAATTAGTATGAAATATTAATCATAAAAATAAAAAAAAAATTAGTATGAAATATTAATCATAAAAATAAAAAAAAAATTAGTATGAAATATTAATCATAAAAATAAAAAAAAAATTAGTATGAAATATTAATCATAAAAATAAAAAAAAAATTAGTATGAAATATTAATCATAAAAATAAAAAAAAAATTAGTATGAAATATTAATCATAAAAATAAAAAAAAAATTAGTATGAAATATTAATCATAAAAATAAAAAAAAAATTAGTATGAAATATTAATCATAAAAATAAAAAAAAAATTAGTATGAAATATTAATCATAAAAATAAAAAAAAAATTAGTATGAAATATTAATCATAAAAATAAAAAAAAAATTAGTATGAAATATTAATCATAAAAATAAAAAAAAAATTAGTATGAAATATTAATCATAAAAATAAAAAAAAAATTAGTATGAAATATTAATCATAAAAATAAAAAAAAAATTAGTATGAAATATTAATCATAAAAATAAAAAAAAAATTAGTATGAAATATTAATCATAAAAATAAAAAAAAAATTAGTATGAAATATTAATCATAAAAATAAAAAAAAAATTAGTATGAAATATTAATCATAAAAATAAAAAAAAAATTAGTATGAAATATTAATCATAAAAATAAAAAAAAAATTAGTATGAAATATTAATCATAAAAATAAAAAAAAAATTAGTATGAAATATTAATCATAAAAATAAAAAAAAAATTAGTATGAAATATTAATCATAAAAATAAAAAAAAAATTAGTATGAAATATTAATCATAAAAATAAAAAAAAAATTAGTATGAAATATTAATCATAAAAATAAAAAAAAAATTAGTATGAAATATTAATCATAAGGCTTCTCACTAAAAATCTCATTTTACTTATATAAATAAGAGTATAAGATTCACTTTATGTAAGTGAAACAATTCACATTTTCCTTATTTTCTCGATGTGAGATTATAAAATAAAAGTTAAATGAAAGCTA